TGTGTGTGTGTGTGTGTGTGTGTGTGTGTGTGTGTTGGTTCAGTTAATTCAACATCTCATTTTCAGAGTACATAAAACAACTTATTTTATGATGAGTTCTGGTCATATTTACATTTGTAATGTGTCACTGGATGTTGAATGTTAATATAAAGAAGTAAACGTATCAGATTTATGTTTTCAATGTAGTGATGTAAAAGTAAAATTTATTATTACAAAAATTACAAATCCTCAAAAAACTCTATATATTTACTGTAACAATTTAAATGTACTTGGTTATTATACACCTCTGCCTGTAGCCAGTAAATGTTTGAATCAACATGAACGTTTAAAACTTATTTAGAAATCTTACTTTTTTTGCTAAACCACAGTGGAAACCATTAATTAAATAGTTTTACTTGCTGAACTGATATTTTAAATATCTATAATTTTATTGCCAACTTAATCTTACTTTTACTTGTAGAAATTGTATGATATGACATATTTTTCCATTACTATTTTTGCTAAATAAAACAAAATCACAGTGTTCAAAACAYGTTTTATGTGGTACTAATAATTCTATTGAAACACGTGCCAAATTTTAAAAGTTAAAACATGACTAATAGTCATTTTACAGTTAATCTGTCTCATATATTTCTTGCAGTTTGTCGAGCCCACCGACTACAAATCAACAGCGCCCTCTTCTGTCGAGAGCGTGCTAACACAGTTAGCATCGGAGCTAACGACGCCGGTGCGTTTCTTCCATTTTGTTTAGCTTCAGCTAAGCTAACACTGGCAGGCAGAGATGGACGACGGTGACGAGCCGGGTTTGGTCCTGTCGCACAACACGTCTTCAAGCTTAAAGTCGAGTGGGGACAAGATGTTTTCCCTAAAGAAGTGGAACGCGGTGGCCATGTGGAGCTGGGACGTTGAGTGCGACACTTGTGCCATTTGTCGGGTGCAGGTGATGGGTGAGTCCAGTGAGCTTTCAGACGGGCTAATGAAGCTACCTCGGTTAGCAATAAAAAAAAAATTAACCCAAGTGTTGTTTTAACATTTAACAGACGCGTGTCTCCGATGTCAGGCGGAAAATAAACAAGAGGACTGTGTTGGTGAGTCATCTTCTGCTGTAAAACACAACAAACACTCAACAAGTGAAGCTAGCATTGAAACTAATCAGAGCTGTCAGACATCATGCTAATTACAAACATGTTTATATCAAAGCAAGGCAGAACTGGGTTTGTATACTTTTATGTCTGTCTTTAATTTAATAGGAATCTTGAATTTTAAGTCATTTGTCAACAGATTTTCATATTAGGGTGTGTAATTTATAATCATTTTTTTAATATAACATTCATTGCTTTGGACAAAAGCTGCACAATCCTTCAGTACAGATCAACTAATCTGAATACAAACTGATCTATTCCTTTAACTTTACACAGTTTTTGTTTTTTTGCTCCTTGCAGATATGTTCATTTTCTTTCTCATGTACTCAGTCATTTCAGTTGTTCCTGTTTTTTTCTTTTTCTTCTTGCAGTCGTCTGGGGAGAGTGCAACCACTCCTTCCACAACTGCTGCATGTCGCTGTGGGTGAAGCAGAACAACCGCTGTCCGCTCTGCCAACAAGACTGGGTGGTTCAGAGGATCGGCAAATAATCAGCACATCCAGGTGGACTGTGCATGTTATGCACCTGAGAGCGGTGAGGAGCAGCGGTGGGTGGTCTCAGCTAATGTCACGCTGTCCTCTTCCTCACGATTGCATGTTTCCTGGTATCATGGGAGAGCGACAGGCAAAAGATGCGCAGATCGATCAAGAGTCTAGGACAGACTAATGAAATGTGTTGCAAAGTGTGGGTCTGCGGCTTTCTTTTAAAAACAATAAAAAGTTGTGAATTGATGTATTTCATATGTGCTCGGTGTACAATTCTTAAAGTGTCAGTGTGGAATATGGGACTATACTGTATGTATGTGTACAATAAACTTTATAGTTTTGTTTAAGGCAAGTTTCAAAACACACCTTCAAAAATAAACACCTGTGAGTACTAAAACTGGGTGCTGAATTATTCAGTTTCACCAAAATGCATTCAGATGTAATAACTCAGATTTATTTTCATTACATGGTGTTATTTAGCATGGCAGTGCAGTACCAAAGATCCAAAACATTTTAGTTTTGATGGGCAGAAGAAAATGTAGAGTTCAAACACATGGCAATGGCTCTGTGTGGTAAAAAACAAACTGCATAGTAAGAACTTTATTACAGTGTGAACATATGATTTTGTGTAGGGCTGTAATTGTTACTCTGAAGTGCTCTCTTATAAAACTAAAAAGATAGTTTAACAGGTTCATACATTTAGTGTATTTGTACTGTAGTGAATCAAAACCTTTGCAATTTGTAGTGTCATGTCGCACACAAAACTGCACTGATTCCTTGTTAGAAATTATTTTTATGGAAAAAGAGTTACCTGGGAACTGACTTGTGCCCCTTTTCCACTAGGGCCACTAGTGTGAAGTCGGTACGGTCAGTTTGGGTGCTTTTCCATTGACGGTCCAGTCTTGGTTCCAGTTGGTGTGTTTTGGGTGGTTGGTGGAGGTGGTTTTGGAGTTTTTCGAAAAAAAGTTAATGCGCAAAATCAGAGATGGAAACACATTTGATGAATAACTTTTGAAATTTTCAAAATTCACTAAAAATTAGAATTAAAATTGATGGAAGCAGGACTAATGTCACTGCTACAATTGAAAAAAATGGCGCCTCGAGTTGTTCTTGTAAAGGCAGCTTAGATGCAACCAGTGACTCCACCCCCATAGCCAATCAGTGACGAACAGTGTTTTGACGTCACATTTTGGTGTGAAATGGGGTCAGTTGGAACCACAACATTACATATAACTAATGGCTGGAAGGCTTTAACCTCATTTAACCTGAGAAGGATGTGAAAGTTAAGCTGTCTGTAATACTGAAACTCTCGTGAACTTATTTGGTGTAATTAATTTTAATAACTACAATAATTTTATATATTAAATTATATCCAAATTACACCATAAAGTGATAATTCAGATGTAGTGAAATGATTTTGGGAAAAGGTTATAAACTCTCTTATTGCTGTGGATAGCTCTAAACAGCCTCAGCCTATAGAAATACAGTCTGTTTTTTAACTAGGCTTAATCTGAGCATAATAAAATTGTGTATGCATGAACCATTTTTAATATACTTTTGAATTATTTTTATTGTTTAAACATTCTGCTCAGGTGTGCCATTAGCACATCAGTCAAAATTAAACTACATTTTGCTTTTCAAAAAGCTCTACAATGTTGTCAATACAACAAAAAATATTGTATGAATTGTAATATAAATCTGTTTTATATTTACATGAAAAAGTTCCATTGTCCATAACAGGTAAAATAACCTTGCTCATTCTGATGGGGAAACTTGGATCCTGACATTCGTTTGAGTATAAGTTATTAAAGTCTATTAATTTCCCCAATTCCATAATCAATCAATCATTATTTCTTAGAGTGGATCTGCTGCCTTATGTCAAAGGCTGTTCAGGTTCTGCATACTTTGTGTCCCCTAAGAATAGACTCGTCTAAATCCTCTTAGGTTCAAACCACATAAGTTGCTTTCTCTATTTGCATAGATGTGCGCAGGCACTTAGCAGCTAACAAATCCCCGAGACTCAGTCAGCGTGCTGGAAGCAATGGAAAATGTTCAGCATGTGGGTGCTTGAGGTACTCACTTCTGGAGTTCAATGGGTAAATTTAAGTGTTCTTAGTTTATTAGCTGCCAACCAGTTCACCACAGGATCCCTCCAGTATGGGTGACCTGCTGGGACTGGACCGTTTGGTGGCCAACACAGCCTTCTTCAGAGCTCAGCAGTGCGATGGCACTGAGCTGAGAACGCAAAGAGTAGCCTTGATGCTGCCTAAACCCAAGAGGTACTCTGCTTCTCAGGAAGTGGCAAAGAGGACGTACGAGTCACTCTGCGAGCAACAACCCATTGGGAAGAAGTTGTTTCGGCAGTTTCTCCTGACGTCCAACCCACCGTGCGTGGCTGCTGCTGAGTTCCTGGAAGAGCTGAGTGACTGGAGCTTTGCCGAGGAAGGGACCAAGGAGAAAGCCAAACAGAGAATACTGTCCAAGTTCTGCCAACGTCAGTCCCAGACTTTCCTTTCCTACCTGACAGGGGAGAACGTCTCAATGTGCAAGGCTTTGTCCGATGAAAACTTTGACGAAGCAGCGCTGGACCAGATCCGAGAAGCAACACGGGACTTCTTGAGGGGCAAACCTTTCCTGGGGTACCTGAGGAGCCCCTTCTTTTACAGGTTTCTCCAGTGGAAGGAGTGCGAGAAGCAGAAGATCACTGACAAGTACTTTTACGAGTTCAGGACTTTGGGAAGAGGTGGCTTTGGTGAGGTAGGTACCAAAAATCCTGATGACTGGCATCTATTGCTTGACATACTGTCTCATTTACCACCCCCAGAATTCTCCCTTCTGATTAAAGAGGACAACTTTTGTTGAYGTATTAATAATGTAGTCCTGTCTGACAGGTGTGCTTGGTGCAGGTGAAACACACAGGCTACCTGTATGCCTGCAAGAAGCTCGACAAGAGGCGCTTGAAGAAGAAAGGTGGCGAGAGACTGGCCCTTCTGGAGAAGCAGATCCTGGAAAAGGTCAACAGCCTCTTCATTGTGAACCTGGCCTATGCCTTCGAAAGCAAAACTCACCTGTGCCTGGTCATGGACTTAATGTCCGGAGGAGACCTCAGGTTTCATATCTATGAGTTAGGGGAGAGGGGCATTCGCATGGAGCGTGTGGTGTATTACACAGCACAGATAGTAACTGGCCTCCTCCACCTGCACTCTATGGACATTGTGTATCGTGACATGAAGCCCGAGAACGTCCTGTTGGATGGTAAAGGCCAGTGTCGACTGTCGGACCTTGGACTGGCTGTGGAGCTACCAAATGGAAAAATGATCTGCCAGAGGGTTAGTAGTGTCTCTACAGATGATTTGACGATTAAATTCTGTATAAATTAAAATACAACTTGCACAAAACCCTGGTAGGACCAAGCCCCCTTCCTTTCTTTAATGTCACTACAAGGTTTACTTGCAAGTAGCTTACCAGGAATAGATCTGATGGCTGCTGTAGGGTCAGCGCAGAGAGCAAGACCCTGTGAAAACCACAGTAATCCCATTAAAAGGTGCCTGACCTGGTGCTCAGCTGGTCACTGCACTGACTGACAAATGTAAGGTGGAACCACCAGGGCTTTGTAAGTATTAGCTGACTAATCTTTGCCCTACAAATGCCAGAAACAATATGGCATTTTTTATGACTATTATAACAAATCAGGCAATTTATCACAGATTACTGTTCAGCAGTGAGTTGGAATAATTGTGGGGTTTTTTTTGGAAGATGACATTACAGACCCATATTTACATTTTTGTTTTCCTTTTTTTTTTATTTGTATATCTTCAGGTAGAGATTGCTCCAAAAACAAACCAGATAGATAAGCGTCTTCACTCTAACTAAGTAGCCCTAACTATCCCAGGTGTCCTGTTTGTGTTTCAGGCTGGTACCACTGGCTACATGGCTCCAGAGCTCCTGAAGCAAGAGTACTACCGCACCTCTGTGGACTGGTGGGCTCTTGGCTGCAGCATTTATGAGATGGTGGCTGCTCGCCTGCCTTTTAAGTACTTCAGGGAGAAGGTGCAGAATACCGAGGTGACCCGTCGTACTCTGGAGGACGCCTGCAAGTTTGAGGACACACGCTTCAATGGTCCGACGAAGGATATTATCATGCACCTTCTGAAGAAGAAACCTGTCCATCGCCTTGGGTGTCGGTAAGATAAGAATCTGTCACTGTGGGTGTCCTGGAGGAAATCACCTGACTGTAGAAACAAAACTTGAGCAAAAGCAAGGTAGAAATACATTATACAGCCTGGTATGTACAGGAATGTACCTTGTAAACAGGCATATTACTGCAATTAAAGTATCCTGTAAGTATAAAGCATGCACCTGGTAGGTATGTATGCATAGCAACTTAAAGCAACATTTAGAATGACTGAAGCTTCATAATATATATATA